AGAGAGAGAGAGAGAGAGAGAGAGAGAGAGAGAGAGAGAGAGAGAGAGAGAGAGAGAGAGAGAGAGACTTACACTGTGTATGCATGCGGGTATATTTGTGTGCGTATGTGTGTGTGTGTGTGTTACGCTGCCGGAATGTGTGGGGTGGACAGAGTAAAAGGAGAGCAGGTGCTATCAATGGTTGGCGGAGGAGCAGAGTTCTGCGAGTGTGACATCGATGACAAGCAGTCCCTGGCCAGGGCTATGGATGGTATGTATGACGTCCCAGCTTTTTTCTTAAGGCAGCAAACGAGGAGAAATTTCACAAAATAATATTTTGGAATTCCCCAAAAGATTTTTTTGCGATTGTGTAGTAAAATTAATAATAATAACTTGTAACTAATACATTATTATAATCATCACACTGTCATAATCATGCCGCACTTGCCCCCACGGTAGTCTGCTTGCCCACTGGTCTCCCCCCCGTCTCCCCCCCGTCCCCCCCCCCCCCTCCCCTCCCCTCCCCTCCCAAAAAAAAACCCACTGGTCCACTGCTTTTGTGACTAAAGCTTAGGGCGAAGGCCCTTTGGAAAAGGATGTTAGAAAAAAAAACAAGTAGAAGAAAAAAATTAAATCTTCTATTCCTCATTTTCCGTCACTTTCAACAATTCTTTTAAAGTTATTCAACATTTCTACGTTTATTTTCAGTATAAATTTCGGAGGAATTTGCAAGAGGCAACTTTTGCGATTTTTTGTGCTCGGAGGAATTTGCAGAAAAATCTGAAAATTTGAGAATCTATAGATGAGGTCGTGGTCTTTGGAGGGAAAATATCAGGAAAAATATTTTAAAAAATCATTACGACCGCAAAATAATTTTGCCACTCAGCCATGTGTGGGCCAAGGGAAAAAGTACTCCAACTTCAGTGATTTTTCAGAAAATCATTAAGACCGCGACGCCGGCACATTTTCCATTTTTGCCACTCAGCCATGTGTGGGCCAAGGGCAAAAGTACAACTTCAGTGATTTTTGACTGGGCACATTTTCCATTTTTGCCACTCAGCCATGTGTGGGGCAAGGGCAAAAGTACAACTTCAGTGATTTTTCTCGCTCAGAATGCGTGAAGAAATCTGAAAATTGGAGTACTCGTCGATTTTGTTGTTATCTTTGTGATCTTTCCAGGAAAAATGTTAAATTAATTAAAAAATAATAATTTCAATCACAAAATAGATCACGGCCACAGTTTGACCCATCTCTCTCTCCCTCTCTCTCTCTCTC